GTGCTGGTGGAGACAAGGGGACCTTAAAGGACGCCTTTGGGCAGAGCATGCACGTGGAGGGTGATGCTGGACAAACGGAAGTGGCGGGAGATGCTTCCAGCTGGAATGAGGCACTGGTGGCCTCTGTTACCCAGCAGCCGCCGGGGGATGGTGCTGCTGGGCCGGAGGCGGGCGTCCCTGAGCAGGGTGAGGCAGCGGAGGGGAGCGCCGGGCCTGGCAAGCCCGGGAGAGGCCCGGCTCCCTGGAGTGGGCCGACCCGGGGCCCTGCGTGGCAGAGCGAGACCACAGCGCCTGCTGCCAGGCAGGAAGAAATGATGGAAAATGCTGCTGGGCAAAACCAAACCGGGGAGAGCGCTGGCCAGAACAAAACAGGGGCTATTCAAACCGTGCCGGATGGGCTTAGGCAGAGCAGTGACTGGGGAAATGTTTCAGACACGCCTCCATTCGTCCAGATAAACGTCAGCTCTACTTCAGAGCACAATGACTCCAGAATAACGGGAGGAACTTTGTGTCATCGTGGGCATTGCCCCTGGCAGGTAATGCTGTTCTTCCAGTCTGGCCATAAATACCACACCTGAATGCTTTCTTACGTGACCATCACTGGTTCCCTCTGGAGCAGAATTCATCAAGCCATTATAAAATTTTTTTCAGGTTGAGAGCAAGCCAACCTCATGTATGTCTCAAACTTCTGCAGGTTTTTTTTTGATGATGCGTATCTTAGTTGCCTTCTCATTCTTCCCCCATCCTAGATACATGCGCTTTTGTGATCTCAGCTTAATACTTTATCTCTTAACTACATCAGTCAGATCTTCTCGTGCTCTGTTATTCAGGTTCTTTGTTTCTAGAAGTTTTTGGTGAAAAGCTGTGCTTCTGACTCCTTTTGGAATGGCTGGTGGTATTTTTCTATGACCAGGTGAGATTCTTCATTAGAATGCTGAGCTTTTCACACTTGTTACGGTAAGGAAGATAAAACTGAGAGGGCTCAAATGTGAAGGTGAGTGGCATGTGGCAAGTAGGGGAACCTCCCTGAAGTGTTTCAGTGTTTGTTTCATTTCTACTAGCTTGTTTTGTTTTTTTAATCTTGGTTTTGGGAGTTGGGGTTGGGGGGTGGGGGTGGGAAAAAACCATGTGTGGGTGTGTCCTTATTTGTTATTAATTTTCACTATTTGTATTGTCTCTGTTTCATCAGTGTACTATTATTGTTTATGGGCTTGTGCATAGAAAGTTAACAGACTGAGCTAAAAAAACTCAGGTTACGGTCAGTTTATTTTATTGCTGTCACACAAAAGGCTTTTCCCATTCCACACATCAGGAGGTGGAAAAATAGTAGGCTGAGCCTGTGTGGACCATGCAATCATTGTGCACTTTTGCAAGCTGAAATGTCACGACTAGTAAATTGTATGGGTGTCTGCCATCTTACACGCTTCTAGGAGGAACACCAGCTGCTTTCCTTTTCATCAAGCGAGACCTGATTTTGGGTTGGGAGAAGGGAATGTAGTCTGAATGCTGCCTAACCGATACACTTTCTTCTTGAAATAAAGTGTTACCATCAGGGAAGTTTTAAATTTTCATTACATCAGGCAATTCGTAATTGAATCTTGTATTGGTTAACACATGAAATAACAGGTTCAGGGAAGAATTTAACTGAAGAGATGCTGAGGCATTAATGGAGCTTATAATTTTGAATAGACAAGACAAACATCTAACACCAAGCAGCGTTTTTACTTTCCGATTTTCTACTCTGAAGATCATTCCAAATTTTATTACCACTAAAAGGAAAAATAACAGTTTCTGAATCTCCACTCTTTCTTGCACTTTCACTTGACAACTGGGAAAGTGAAACACTCTTTTCTATCCCTTGTTCATACAGACAAACACCACTCTCTTCTTTTTTTAACCTGAGTACCAATGAAATACACCTTGTGTTACTGTTCTCCCCCACCTCCAGAAAATTTGAAGCCACATGAAAAATCAGTCATAGGTGTTTCCTTAGAAGAATGCCAGTCACCATAGCTCTAATCCTATTTGATTTTGTCAAGCTTAGTTCATCATAATATTCTGCTCCATTGTCACAGATGTGCACTCATTTTATTACTGTTTTAACATCATCATCTTTGCTTGGCGCACTGTAGTCGTTACTAACAACGGAAGTGTTACTTACTTTCAAGATACAGAACCTGCAGTGACCAGAGAGAGCCTGACAGTGTGCATACGTACCTAGTACAGCCCTGGTGACACGTTCTTCCTCATCTTTCACACAGGTTTTGATCCGGAATAGTAAAGATATTGGCTTCTGTGGAGGGAGTTTAATCAGCAGTCGCTGGGTGGTCACTGCTGCTCACTGCCTTGATCTCATCAGACCACACCATGTTACCGTAGGTGAGTACAATTTGTGTGTTGTATAAATACAGGAGTAATCTCTTCCTTAAAATGTGCTTTGCATTGTATGTGACCACAGTAAGGTACGATTGAGAAACAGACAGACACATCCAACCTGACTCAGATTTACAGAACACTTCCTTTTCATGGCAACAGTTAAGTGCAAAGGGGCTCCAAATGGTCCCTTTTGTTTCCATGGAGAACGTGGGAGCGCAATGCACAGCTTTTCCTTTTTTCTGTTTCCCATTTGGGCAAAGGCATTGTGCACGGAGACTGAGCACATCTCAGGGTACATCTCGGAAGAAGGATTCCTGTAGGTGAGGGTCTCCTCTCAAGTCAGTTTTGTTTTTTAATCAGCCTTATTAACATCAGTTTCCTGCTGTGGTGCCTGCTTCTCATTGCCTGTAAATTGTCTCAGAGCAGAAAACCCCTCTCCCTTGTAATGTAATGTACGACAACATGCGTTACAATAGCAGGAAGTGGAACCCCTTGCAGCAGCAATGCTGCAGTAAACACAATCTTGTGCTTGAAACCTCCAGAAAAGCGACATGCAACAGGAGCAAACAGAACACAGCCCTGGGTAACTGTCAGGAGCAATTCTTCAGCCTTATCCATGGCTGCATCTTAATGCTTAGGTCATGTTCCTGAGGGGGAAAACACAAAGTCCCATGGAAACTTAGATGAACTGTTCAAAATACAGTGCTTACTAAAAAGCGTTGACAGTATTTATGGTAAAATCCCTAGCCCGGAAGCCATAATCTAAGTATCTATTCATCCAGTCAACAACTTTGTTTTGCCCTTAAAGGGCAAAGTGGTGAGGGTGATTTGCAGGATCACCATCTGCAGAATAAGGAATTTTTGCTACAGAGCATAATTTGTTTTGGTCTGTACTCCTGGGGACGAAAGGTCAAAGCATTACTTCACAATACCGTAGAGGCTGTTTACACTTTGCTTAACATTTTAACTTGTCATGACTACAGGAGACTTTGACAAATACCAAAGAGAATTCAAAGAACAGAAGATTGATGTGGAACGGAGCTGGACACACCCACATTATGATTCAAATGACTACAACAGTGACATCGCCTTGTTGTACTTGAGCAGTGACGTTATTTTTAATGAGTATGTAATTCCCATCTGCCTTCCAAGCCCAAACCTCGCCACCCTGCTATCTGAAGAAGGACGAACAGGGATGGTAAGCGGGTGGGGTGCCACTCACGAGAGAGGTTCCACTCTGCGTTTCCTCATGAAAGTCCGGCTGCCCATTGTAAGCATGGAGACCTGCCAGCGGTCAACAGACAGACTCATCACTGACAACATGTTCTGCGCAGGCTACAACACTGAAGTTGCAGACGCCTGCAAAGGGGACAGCGGTGGCCCTTTCACAGTGTCTTACCACAACACTTGGTTTCTCTTGGGGATTGTAAGCTGGGGTGAGGGCTGTGCTGAAAAAGGAAAATACGGTGTATATACGAGAGTATCCAACTACATCCCGTGGATTAAAGAGATTGTTGAAAGTGTAGCAGATTCGGAAAACTCTACCATTAACTTTTCTTAATACCATCTTTAAAAATAGGGACAATTCTATTATTAGTGTGTTTCAGTCAAAGACACTATGCAGTTCCTGTCATTAACAGTATAAAATCAAGGTTATCTTCAAAGAAATTTTGAGTCTTCCTTTACTTTAAATGGTTAAATTGTTCATTCAAGTATTACTGAGTAAAATACTTGTGCATAATAAAGAGCTGTTCTGCAAATAACAAACAAGACGACTACAGCTTTTCTTAATGTAAATTCCTATCAGAAAGGTGTGGGTTTTTTTTTTTTAAGAGAAAGAAAAAGCTTTCCATTTCTCAAGCATACACACGTATCACAAAAACAGGCAAATAGTCCTTTGTGTGAATTAGTTGCTTAGAAAAGGAAGAAGTGCATTTCTGGTAGTGTTGTCTGTCCTCTAGTTATGAAACACCATGCAGAACACAGCAGTTGGGGATCTGTGAAGTTTTGTCACTGAGTAGAACTGCTACCTCAAGTACAATTTAGTTTACTAAAATACAAATATTTTCTGATACAAAACAATGTCTGTATGGAATATGGATTACAAACTGCTTTGGACAAACTGAGAGGGAATCCACCCAGCTGCAGCTGGAGAAACATAAAACGATTTTATGGTAGAATTCTGAAATAAATAAATGATTACTGGTGGGGGCTGTGGGGAAATGCTGTCTCCTGCGCCTCAGGGGGCAGCCCTACTTATGGTGCAGCTCCGCTCCAGCAGCTGGCAAGGAAAGGCATGAAGATGGGCTACGTGCCTCCACCCCCCCATCCCACTCTGGGCAGAGTACTACAGCAGTGGAACTACGCAACCCAGAGCTGCACAAGTAGCAAGTAACAGAACTGTCCATTTTTCACACTTTCTCTAAGACCAAAAACCCTTTTCTTCATTCTGAAGACACCCCCACTCCCTCATGTACACAATTTATCTCTCCCAGTATTTGATGAAAACCAGTGATTCAGACTTGAAATACATTTGAACACATGTGGTGGGGGAAAAATAACACATAACCACAGCAAGAAACAACTTTTCTTATCATCCTAAAACAAAAGGAAGATTGATCATGTGCACCTACCCATCCCTCTAGGAGGTTGATTTCCCCACACATCATAAGAAGCTTCACATTCTTAAAAGAAGTGTTCAATGCCAAAAATGCAGGTGAAATGGAGCACCTGTGGGCCAGAGGAATATCCCCCAACTAATTCTCCCCTTTGAGTAGCTACACTGCCATCATTCCAGAATCGCCTTTCTCTGCTGCTGCTTTCTGCCGCAATTAATAGGTGGTCTTTGTGATCCATGTCAAAAGATGTTTTGATTTTGTGACCTTTCTTACAATTAAGTTTTAATTTTTAAAAAAAGTTACACTGATGAGTGGTTCTCTTCCTCAGCTTTGTTCAAAGTCTTATAAAAGTCCATTATTACCATTCCACAAGAAACAGAACCTTTTTGTTTGCCTCAGAGAACACATGATGCTGAGCCATGATGATTTATTTTGATAGCAGGAAACTCTGTTAGGACTGCACGAGACTGCAGGATCAGTACTTTAAGGAAACATCTCTTGGGATTTAAAAATAGCCCACAGTACCCCACTGCAGTACCAGAACTACAAAAAAAAATTCGGGGGGCTGGGAGGGTGAAAAAGAAAGAAAGGCCATCCTAACCCACAGACCTTCAGGGCCAAATTCCCTGTCTTTCAATAAAGTCTTAATTAAAAATGGGAAAAAAAACCCCAAGCCCTTGAAACTCTCAGCATGCTAAGAACACACAGCCCATGTCAGTTACTGTGTCCTAAGCATACCTGGCAAGAGTAGGTGAAGTAGTCTCATGAGCAGAATTCCTTTGGTAGGCGCCATCCAGCGCAGGCATCCTCCTTCCATTTTGCTTCAAGTTCGTGTCCCAGCGCACAGCTTTATTTTATTGTCGGTCCCCTTCAGCCTCGCAGCATACTTAAAATGTGACCATCCACGTACTTACATCCTCTCCGTTATCAGTGCCAGCAGATGCCAGAGGTACCAAGCACCTCTAAGTCAGCCACCACCAAGATCCCTACCTCAAAGAATTCACATTAAGCACATGGGCTGTGCTCCTCTGGCACGAAGGTGACTTTCTTACTGAAATCCCAACTGCCAGTTATCCATGCAAGGAGAAGAGTCCTCTTCTTACAGGCAAGCTCAGCAGACAAAGATTTTCAGAGGTAGAGGTAAAGAAGCAGAGGTACAAAATGTTGCTCTGCTGTCTTTCTGTAGCACCAGGGACAAAGAAATAGTAGCATTATCCCCCTAACGCAGAGAGAGGAATCTTCTCCTTACCACTGGCAAAAAAAACCTTTCAGAAAGTCACTGGTGGGCTACAGAGCAACACACATTTGAGATACCCAAATAGCAGAGCAAATCAAAAGAAAAAAATTTACATGGCTTTCAACTCTACAAAATGAAGTCACAGCAGTATCAAGCCCTGCAGCAAAGGCTCCACACAGCCAATCTAAGTGCTGCATACAGCACCCAAAAAAGAAGTGTCCAGCACTCTGATATTCAGTCTTCTTGAGCAGTCTCACTAAGCTCGATTCCAAAGTCTGGCTCACTTAAAAAATAATCATCTATGGAATCACACGTCACAAATGGCCATCAGCTGCAGACCTTTTTTCTCCAATAGCAGTCACCGCTGAAGGCTTTGCTGTTCGCATGGAGGATCAATAGTAGTGAAATACCGCTGTCTGTCTTACGTCAAGCATTTTAACTGGAAGCCGCTGGAATTTTTAGTGGTTGGTCTGCTGGTCTCTTGAACTTTACATCATAATTTCATGAAAAATTAAATCCTTTGGGTGGAAGACGGTCAGTATTTCTAATCAAAACCAATACATGTAGATCTCCAAAGACAGAACAACTAATTAATAAAGCACTGAATAAAGAGGAAATGGACAACGGTAAACAGAAAATTAACAATTGGCAGCTTTTCCACATACCAGGTGGTCCACACATACATTCTCTTCAGCAATCAACAGACAGCCCCCCAAAAAAACAGAAGATGTTTTATTGTCTAAAGTGTTGTAATACAACAAATACGTGATCTGTACAAAGGACACAATAGAGCAAGTTTAAATACAATCAGGAGAAAGAAGTCCCCATATTCACAGTCCTCGGACAACATCTTATACCAGAACCTGAACCAACAATTTAAAGACTCACTAAAAAACCCAAACAAGTTGTTAAAAAATTTAAAGGTCTCCAAAGAGTCTATGGGTGTATTGTCTTACAGCAGAGATCATGGGGTATTCTGTGAAGGGTCACAATGGCATCTTATTGCCCTCAATGCTGATTTTCACTGCATGGGCCGATCTGCTTTTTTTCCTGATATCTGTGAATTTCCGCATCTGTTTGTCCAGCCGACTCACCCCTTTCTTAGAGGTCCCCTGGAACTTAAAAAATAAAACTAATAATTACCACTGAAAAAAAGCAGACGTCCCAGAGGTTCAAGAAAAGCGATGCATGCAAGGTTAAACCTGCAGGAGGGAGCTGATGAAGCCACTGGTTCCAACTGGTTGTGTGTGTGTGCACGCATTCTCTCCCAGCAAAGTGGATAAAATGATTCCCCCAATATATGCATCACATATATAGAGGTAGTCACACTCACAAACATCACACAGTAAAGCTTTCACATTACAGGGATTAATAACCGTGTTAGTTGTTCACATGCCAGCTGAATATACAGTTTGGAATAGTTTTGTATCTATATTGCTGGAGTTTAGTGTCAGGAATAAACTGCACTACAGTGTCATACATACAGGCTTCCTGTGGGGGGAAGATTTTTACATACAAATACACAGTAATTGAGGTGGATTGAATTGACATATGAATTCCAAACGGTAATTTATTTTAAAGGTCACTGATTAGTACTTATAAAGCAAGAGATTATTGGGGAAAAGGGTGTAGGGGAAAGTAAAAGAAATGGCTAAGCTGACCAGTTATTAGAAGAGTTATTGCATTTCATCTTTGTATTTTAACTGCAAATGAAAAACTGACGCAGCAGTTATTTTGCACAGATTAAATACAGTGACTCTGTAAAGAAACACCACTGAAGACAAACAGCAAGAACCTTCCAATCCATAGCCATTACTTCCTAGAAAGCAATTTCCCCTAACTAGACACCAGAAACAATAAATGATGGAAACTGCACACCTTTTAAGTTTGGGAGAAACAGAGATATCCAGAACATGCTACTTAATATCTGACAAAAACCATCTATTAGAAACTGAACCTCTTGTTTCCATCACGGACGAAGGCGCTCCTGACACACTGATTTTAAATAAACTTTATTCATAAAACTGTTCACTATTCATTGAAATTATATCTGGAATTTCACAGTGATTTTTAATTTTTTTTTTTTTTAAACAAATAAATACGAAGCTTAAACTCAACAGTTACCTACCATTTGTGCTAGCCTCTTCCTGTCACTATTAGTTTGTGGCAGCCCTGCTCACAGAACTGAAATGCAGACTAGACACTGTCAAAACAATTCCCACACTGATGTATGTCATCGATTGATGTCCCTCCACCCTGCATTAACAGCAGGGGGGGATTCTTCTCCCCCTGGTCTGTAGAGGTCTCATTCTCTGCCTCCTGTCAACCACCCTTAAAGTCTCACATCACTCAACTTCCTTGAAAGAGTAGGTGTGAAAAATGCCTTACTTTGGACCAGTAAAATGTCAGCCACAGATGTTCGTATAGAGTGGTCCTATACTAAGGGCTAAGAATTCCTGTGTGTCAGTTCAGGCAAACCTGGAGAACCTAATTATGTCAGAACAGCATTCAAAACCACAGGTGGTGCAAAGCTATTTTTGAGTACAGGGATTTTCATTTAACACCTGTCATTCAGGTGTCAGCTGTTGAGGTGGGTATCATGGCAAATGTTATATGCTACAGCCTATTTTTTCCTGTACAAGTTACCTTTTAGGTCACAGTACAGACATGAGAGAATTAGAGGAGAGTTTTCCAAGTTTAAGTTAG